GCGGTATATGATAGTAGAGAGGAATGAAATTATTTTTGACGGAGCTAGAATTTTTTTAGTTATCTGAAGGGTAATTTTTATGCAAAAATAAGATTAATAAATAATACGTATATTAATATATATTTATTTATAATATATATATAGTGCAGAAAATAAGAAGAATAATTAAAAAATAATGTAAAAAATAATTTTTACATTGCTTTTTTAGAAAAAGTAAAATTTAAGGAATTAGAAGAAAATTATTATATAAATTTATATATGAGCAACTTTTTCTCAATTCTTCAAATTTTGCATTTTTACCAAAAAAAAAACATTGCAAAAATAAGAATTATAAATAATACGTATATTAATATATATTTATTTATATTATAATATATATACATATATATATATATATATATATATATATATATATATATAATGTAGGAAATAAGAAGAATATTTAAAAAATAATGTGAAAAATAATTTTTACATTGCCTTCTTGAAAAAGTAAAATTTAAAAAATTAGGAAAAAATTATTATATTTATTTATGTATAAGCAACTTTTTCTCAATTCTTCCAATTTTACATTTTTACAAAACAACAATGTAATAATAAAAATAATAAATAATACGTTTATTAATATATATTTATTTATAATATATATATATATATATATATATATATATATAATATATATATAATATATATATATATTGATTATATATATATATATATATATATATATATATATATATATATACAGGGTGTTCAAAAAGTCCCGGTACGGGGGAATAACTCGAAAAGTAAGGGTCGGACAAAGAAACTTTTCGGACAAAAGTTGTAGGGCTTACTCCAAGCTTTTATCTCGTGACCCTGAATTTGACCTTGGATAGTCATTTGAAGGTCACATAAAGATTACCTTCAATTTCTTAAATGGAACCCCCTATTTTTCATTGCATATTCTTGTAGCTTATCTCGAGAGCTTTCCAAAACAACTATAATTAAGTACCTTTTTATTAAGTACTTTCTGAGTTATAAGGCTTAAAATAATTTCTTAATTTTATATAAACCATAAAATATCTAGTAAACCATTCATTTTTCGATTATCTTACCTTCATACTTTTATGTACAAAATAATGAGAGGAATCAATTGGTGTAAAGAAAACACATAGTTGTTTCTAAGAAAAAATATGTAATTTGCAATTAACAATTCCATATTTTTTCTTAAAAACAACTGTATGTTTTATAACTCAAAAAGTACTTAATAAAAAGGTACTTAATTATAGTGTTTTGGAAAGCTCTCGAGATAAGCTACAAGAATATGCAATGAAAAATAGGGGGTTCCATTTAAGAAATTGAAGGTAATCTTTATGTGACCTTCAAATGACTATCCAAGGTCAAATTCAGGGTCACGAGATAAAAGCTTGGAGTAAGCCCTACAACTTTTGTCCAAAATGTTTCTTTGTCCGACCCTTACTTTTTGAGTTATTCCCCCGTACCGGGACTTTTTGAACACCCTGTATATACACTGTGGCCCATTTTAATCGACGCACCTGAATATCTCGTAAAGTTCAAAAGATACGAAAAAATGTTTCAGACAAAAGTTGTATGGTTTCAAGGGGACATAAGGTGGTGTCATTAGTTTGATCTTGAAGAGCCACCTGAAGAACACGCGAAGGTCAGCTCCAACTTTTTAAATGGGATACCCTATATACTTTTGCATATTCTTGTAGCTCATCTCAAGAGCTTTCCAAAACACTATAATTAAATTAGTTTTCATTAAGTACTTTCCAAGTTATGAGGCTTGAAATCATTTTTGAATTTTACATAAACCGTAAAATATTTTGTAAAATATTCATTTTTCGATTATTTTACCTTAATAATTTTATGTATAAAATAATGAGAAGAATCAATTGGTGTAAAGAAAACTCATAGTTGTTTCGAAAAAAAATATGTAATTTGCAATTAACAATAAGTTGAGTTACAGGGTTTATGTTAGTCTGCTATAAACATTCAAACTTAACTAAGAATTAAAACTAATTGAGAGGAGTTAAGAATTATCAATCTATTAGCTACAATTAAAGTTTTTACATTTTATTTTTCATGAATGAAAATATTATTCTACAGATTTTGTTGAATCGGTTACTTCTTCCTGACCCTCACTTTCGGCCTCTTTAGGGATCATACCCAACTTCTCCATTCTCGCCTGCTTCTTAACTTCCTTCTTCTTCTTCTCTTCCTTTTCTTTCTTCTGTAACATCTCTTTGAATCTTTCATCATGAGGTGAAATTTTGAAGCCAAAGTGTCTCCTGAGTTCCTCTACCAAACGTTGCTTGCGCTTTCTCGCAGCCTGTAGCTCATCTTCCTTCTTAGCGATTTTAGCTTTTAACTGTTTTGTCCATTCTTCCATGTTCATCATTTTTGCATGTATCTCGTCATCTCTGCAAGTTCATAGTATATAATTAAACATTATAAATTATTAGTAAAATTGCATCTATAAGTAATACAATTGATAATGTTGGGCGGTGGTTATTGCGTGCGAAATAATATAGTCACCACATGAACTATGTTAATAGAATATATATATTTGACACATGAACAATTCAATGTATAAAAGAAAAACAGTTTTGATGTCTCCTGCCTTTATAACGCGAACAGAAAAAAATTTCTCTTTTAATTTTACAAAGAACAACGTGACGAATATTACGCACATGGCAGAACGGCAGCAGACTCTATCTCTTACTTAATTAGAAGCTCAATTGTGTCATTTTATGTTATTAATGTTATTTAAGTTATTTATGTTATTAAATATAATGTTATTCATGTTATTAAATATTACAATTACACTATATCAATGTTAAAAGCTGATTTCACTTTCCTCATTCCCTACGGATTTGCATTCAAGGTATCAATCAAGGAATTTTTTCACTTTTCACGAAAAAAAATTACATGATCGATCCTTTGATTTTATTATTTTTCAATTATGTGAGGTCGGTAAAAGAAGACCGATCATCAGATAGGCAACCCGATTTAACGATTTGTATGTTGCGGAAGCACCCTGTACATAATAGTTCCATTGTTGAGTGAGAAATTATAACATTGATGTTGTGTTACTGTTATTTTGTGTTTACTGGGGAAGATTAGTAAGAAAAAAATAAACGTTTTATTGCTCATATGATTGGAGTTGCTTTCCTAAAAGTTCAATTTCAAGTTGTTCTTTTTACAATTGTGTGTTTAAAATTTTTATTTCTATTTCAGATTTTGCACGCAGATCCTTTTTCATTAGCTCGACTAATTCGGCTTTAGATTGAGCTAAATCGTAAAAACATTGATTGCGTCTTACAGCGCTTATTACAGGCAATTCTTGTCTGTTTTCCTCGTTTTACAGTTTTTTTTTACATTCAAACTTGCAGGATTTACATTTTGATTTTCCTTGGACGATGTTCCCATAATTGCCTCTACTTCACTATATGTAAGATTCGTATATCTTTCATCGACGCATGAAACCATCATTGGAACCTGTAATTCAGTACTCTTCTCCGATTGTACCTGTAATTCAGTACTCTTCTCCGATTGTAGCATTGCCGGCGTCCAATCAGTCCAATTTGTTGTTAAATCATCTGTTTCGTTGAGTGTCTATGATTAATAAACATATCATAATTAGTATTGCTATTGTAGTAATATATTTGGAACATCAAGAAAGTCATTTTGAAAATATTGACTAACAATCATCATTGATAAAGTGATACTAAAAAAAAAAAAGAAATGTATTTAATCAAAACGCATGAAATATCGATCTACTAACACCAATAAGCATTATCAATAAGCGAGTACATAAAATAATACCCCTCCCCCAAGATTAAAATACAGAAACTATTTGCAATACATACTTCAACATCCATATACACATCGTCATTGTCGTTTGTATCCTCATCCACATTGATGTCATCTCCGCCTATAAAAAAAAGTTTACGATTATTTCATATTTTTGAGATTCTGGTTCTATTTCGAAAAATAGATGCCAAGATATTTATACATTATACGATGTATATAATCTATCTATATATAATATTCTCTCAAAGTATATAAAAAATAAATATACCTGCTACACAATCGCTGTCGAATGGATTCCGTAAACCTTCGATTGATGGTTCAATAACACTTTTTACTTTTTCAGCTATCGGGTCATCAGGGATAGTCATCTTTTCACCACCTACACATTATTAATTAATAATTGTATATGTTTATAGACAATATGCTTATATACAACATATACCTGTTGCAAAAACTTGTTTACGTATTTCTGCAAAATGTTTCCGAGTCTTCTTTTTTAAATTATCCCAGCAATTTTTTAGCGACATCACATTTCGGTTTGCTTTTATGCATCTGCTATTAAATTCACGGCTTATGTCTAACCAGCATTTTTCTTTTTCTTTGATAGTTACACCATCAGTTTGCTTGTTTTCAATTATGTCTTTTTTCTTTTCGATAATTTCAATTAATGTTATTTTTTCGTCTGTCGAAAAATTTGGTAATCATTTTTTAGGATTATCCTTCACGGACAATTCTTTTTTATTCGACATTACACAATTATATTTAATCTTGCACAAAATTATATTTCTATTTATTGCACAACAATAATAGACAGCTGATCTCTTTACCGTGACATTTTTCCCTCTTCTTTACAAAATCTCAGCCAACCAATCACAGTTCATGTTTCTGAGTTTCAATGAAAAGAGTATAGGTTTATGTAACCTATGATTAAAAATGAGTTGTGGAACGGAATACAGGTTTAACGCAGTTTAACGTAAGCGTTAACTTTGACGGCCGTTTAGCTAAACTCGGATTAAACTGAAAATTGTGGAACCGGGCCTAACTGCACCATACAATTGTTTTTCTCTCTAATGCAGTCAGTTCAGTCAAAAAGAATAGATCTTGTATACCACGCAGCTCTGTACCACGTGGATTAGTACGAGAAATATTAGAAGCTAAAGGTATTTGTGTGAAGATTATATACAATGGAAAAGCGTCTTTCAAGGGTAATTGATTTCACGAATTTTCATTTTATTGTATAATATTAATTGGCAATTAAATATGTTTCGATCGATTGTAAGAATTTAAAGTTACAAAAATGGAAATTATTCGATGATTAATTGTAAATACAGATACCAGGAAATCAAGGAATCACGTACGGGACCTTCGTCTTCGTCGACGAGGGACATACTTTGGGAAATGCACTTCCTTACGTGATAAATCAATAGTACGTATTAGTTAGATTTTATGAATAAAATAACATATATTAAATTTTATTAATAATAACTTCTTTTAATCCATTTTCTTTGCAGTCCTGGCATAAAAATATGCGCTTATACTGTGCCTCATCCGGCAGAGAACAAGATACACTTCAATATTCAAACAACTGGAGAAAGTGCCATTGAAGTGTTGAAGCGAGGTCTACAAGATCTTGAAAGAATATGTGATCATACCATTGAAACATTTGACACAGCTTACAAAAATTTCAAATCAAATGACACTCCTATGGACACTACGTAACATTGTCATTCTTTTTTAGATTTATGTATCATAGATAAGTTTTCCAATTATAAATAAAAATATACTACTAAATTTCATATATTCAGATATAGCCTTGGCTCTTTTTAATAATAAATTTAATAATAGATTTTGAAATAATGGATTATATAAAATATATACAAATTTGGATATCTATTAATTAAATAAATTCTTATAAAAGATAAGTACAAACTAATTATAAGATATGCAGTACACTAAATAATAGTAAAGAAAGAAATCAAAGGATTGGAGAGGAAAATAACAAAATCCATTTTTTCAAAGACATACCATGGAGATTGGATGTTTATTTAAACAACTTCAGCAGCTCTCACACCACCTTTGTGAGTTTTTGACAGAAAATCAGCAAATTCTTGATACGGTGCTTTAGCCAAAGCTTGTTCCTTCCATAAGTCGGGCGTCAGATACGCGTAAGTTTTGGCGATCGCGACATAAGTGGCCTTGGCGAAGTTGCCAAGTGTGCAGGTGGATCCTCTGGCTGAGGTGTAGCAATCCTCGATACCCGCCATTTGAAGCAGCTTTTTGGGAACTGGAGCAGACACGATACCAGTACCTTTGGGCGCAGGTATCAGACGCACTTGCACGGAACCGCACTTGCCAGTTACTTTGCATGGTATGGTATGCGGCTTGCCAATCTTGTTGCCCCAGTAACCGCGACGAACCGGGACGACCGAGAGCTTAGCGAGAATAATAGCACCACGAATGGCAGTGGCTACTTCCTTGGAACACTTCACCATCAATCCAATCCAATGTGTCCGTTGCTGTCTCCGATGGCAACAAAAGCCTATAGAATATTGGCGTTTTTAATATTCTTAATAATATAAGCAAATAAAGGTACGAATGATAAATTAGAAAAAATTATATAGAAGGCTAAGGATCAAAGCCTGGTCCTTGGCTTTTTACGTAATTTTTTTTGATTCAATATTCTTGTCAATGTTTCTAAATTTTTATATTTTATGTTTTTATTAAATTTAATCGCTAGAGATATCTGAAAAAAGAAGACACTTTTAGTTTTACCTTAAAACGCGTGCGTTGACCGGCTCGAGTCTGCTTCTGTACAGGCATGATTTTCAGAACTTCATCCTTCAGGTCTGGACCGAGAAACTTGCCAATGATTTCGTATTCCTTGATGGGTAAGGAGAATAGATAGATGTGCTCGAGTGATTGGATTTTGCCATCTCTGACCAGACGATCTAGCTTCGTGATAGGGACCCATTCCTTGCTATCTTCTTTCCCACGTCCACGTCCACGTCCTCTGCCTCTGCCACGACCACTCTGAGGCTTCCCCGATCGCCTCCTGCTCCACGAGAGCTAAAACCTCCACGAAAACCTCCACGTGTGGCTGGAGCAGCGTCCGCCATTCTGTGATTGAGTAATATATTATTAAAAAAATGCTTTTTCAAATCATAGATAATATTTATCCTGAAACATTGGAATTCCTTGAAAGTATTATTGATAATTGTTATGCCAGATATAGCCTTATCACTATATTTTTATAAGAAATTCTGTCATGTTTCAAAAGGTCTTGTCAAATTCCACATGTTGGAGAGTCACGCTTCATGATTAAAAATCAAGAATATGTAATAATTAATTATAATCTAAATATCAATTATATTCTCAAGTATTTGATTATAACCCAATTTGTTAGGGATTATAAAATCTGATTTTATAATCGTTACTGACAATATAAACGAAACAGAAATTATATTCTAGTGAAATAGAACTTGAAACTACAATTGACATTTTTTGATAGTTACATTATTCTTTATTTTTAATGATAAAGCGTGAACACGCGATTCATCAACACGTGTTAAGGAATTTGACAAGGCATTTTGACAGAATTTCTTATGTGTAAGAATACTTATTTTCTAAACATCTCATATGGATGATTGGCATGATTGGCCGAAAAATATGCGAGTATTATTTTGTTATGATATAAAACGTGAAAGGACGAAAAATTTCTCAAACATATATACTTACGTTATTTTTTTCAACCTCTTTCTAAAGCGTCGTCTACAATAGGTGGAGTAAGCGTGGCGTAAGAAGTAAGAGTAGAAGTAAAAGAGCTATTTCCGGTTTGAGAGAGCTGGAGTAAGGGCGTAAGCAAAATGAATTATTTTTATTTCTTACGCCTACTCTTACTCTTACGCTTACACTCGACCAATCAGAACGCAGGAAGAAAACCCAAGAAGGTTAGAACATGAAAACGGAAGATCGCTCAAAAACGTTGTTAATTGCAAATGTGTTTTGCTATTGTAATTACTTTATTAATAATTGTTATTAATAATTATTTAACGTTTGACTGTCGAGATTGAGTCAGCGTAAACAGCTTACGCCGAAAACGTTACTCCTACTCTAACTTCTTACGCCAAGCTTACTCCACTTATTGTAGACGACGCTTTACACGTGAATCACGGAAGAAGATTGTAATCGATCGTCCAGATGGCGCTTTTTATGCAAATGTCATGTCCGGTATTTCAAAAAATAGCGCGTATTTTTTCTTTATTTTGTTAACAGTGAGGACATCTTTCAAAGAATATTACATAGATTTTAAAGATAAATGAACAAACTCGATCGTTAACATAATAAATAAGCATGCAATTTTAATCATAAGAGATATTTAATATATTATACTATTAATTAAGAACTATTGCGATACTTATTAATAAAATTAATATTTAAAATTAATATTAATAAAATGAATAAAATGATTAAAAGAAAAGCGAAGAATTAATGAATCATTTATTTTTAATGTTTAAAATATTATTAGAGAATATTATTTGTAAATTTGGACATTTTTATAAAAAAGGGGCATTTTATAATTCATTCAATCATTCAGCTTATTTTTATTGCGGAATGATATTTTATAATTGTAACAGTAACATATTATAAAATCAAATTTTTCTTATTTAATTTTTCTGCCTTTTATATAAACTGATACTGTATTATGAATTTTATTGCTGGAATATATAAATCTTTGGAGTTTTTTTCTCAAGTGTATATATTTTATAAATAATTTATAAATCATTTTCTCTAAACTTATCCAACAAGCTGTATTTTGTGTTCAAATTTATAATGAGAGTCTCAAAGTCTTTGCTTTGCATCAAGTTACCGACTTTGTCTTGAATCGAAAGCACTAAAACACATTCAATATACACATAATTAAATTATGGTACATATTATTACATAAAAGGACATATTTATAGACGATAATTATATTATTTCTAATATGTAATATTTGAATTTTACCTTTAGCAGGTAGCACACGTTCATTTTATATACGTTTCTTAAACGTATCTAATGTTTTTTAATCGTAAAGCATTAATTAAAAACGTTTCGAGAAAAACGTTTTTAAAATTATAATTAAGAAAACGTATTTTTCACGTTTCTATAAACAGAATAACAACTGATTTTTAATTAATATCAAATTATATATACATATAAACATACACACATACATATATATATATATATATATATATATATATATATATATAATTATTACGAAAACTATATATTAAGTCAGTTATTTTAATTTTTAGCATCAAATAAAATTTGAAATTTGCTCGAAGATGACAGATAATTTGCGAATCTACAATCGTAAAAAATTATATGATATGGAGATATTATGTACTTATATTCATCAAATTCCAACAAATTTTAATAGAAAGAGAAGAAGATTAATGGACGGAATATTGGAAAATAACTTTTCTTTATTAATTTATTATAATTAATTTATTCACACACTATAGCTTCATACATCTGCGAATAAATATGCGATTTAGTGTATCTAATAAAATATCATAGAAAATTTTAAAATTTCATAAACAAATTATTTGTCTCCCATCTTTCTTTCTTTCTTTTTTTTTTTAATTTGATATCATCCAATTATGAAATCATTACATCAAAAACATACAATAAAATTTGCAATTTTTGAGATAAAATAAAAAAAAATGAAATAAAAAAAGATTATAGGAAAACTCAAAAAATCTAGGAAGAAAATTCTCTAAACACTTTTGTAAAAAAAAAAAAATGGAATTATTTCAAGTGAAAGGTTTATATGTAGAATGATCATATAATCTACAGAATTACAACACATTATTTTCCTTTATTGACAATCAGTTTTATTTAACTGATCAAAAAAATTTATATGACACGCTGTTTAACATTTATTTACTGAAGTTCACTTATTTTATTATATTTAACATATTTATAGATAAAATCTTTTGATGAACTTTTCCACATAAAATTGGTTAGGCGTGACAGTGAAGTGAAGCGCAGCTCTTAAACTTTTTATAATATATGCTAAGATCGAACTTTTGTTTGAACTATCGATTGACCGTCATTTCCTCCTGATTTGTTTGAACTATCGATTACCGCCATTTCCTCCTGATTTGTCTCCTTCTGATATGTTTCCTCCTGATGAATCAGAGTCGGACTGATTTGATATCATTGCGATAACCATCATTATCATGAAAGCAAATGCAAGTTTCATCTGCGAATGTTATAACATGCTGTTTAACATTTATTAATATTTATTATAAATTTTCATCAGGATAAATATATTTATGCAAAATCTTTGATGGAAAAATCTTTCCCAGGATTACTGGATCCCCAGGGATAAAGCCTTTCCCAAACATCCATTTAAAATTGCATACTATAATATCAAGAAAATTCTTATTTGTTTTTGTTTTGTTTCCTCCTGATGAACCAGAGTCGGATTGACTTGATACAGTCGATATCATTGCAATAGCCATCATAATCATGAAAGCAAATGCAAGTTTCATCTACAAATTTTATAAATCAAAAAATAATAATAACGAAAACATACAAGATAATAATGCAAAAACTAAAAAAAAATATATAATTATATTATTAAATCTATAATATTAAATTTAAGTATTATTAAATTCATGTTTATTCCTGAACATATTTATGATAATAGAGTACTCTTAGGAGGTGACTTGATAATGAAGAAGACTCAAATTTATAGAATATAAGACAGATAACATATTGTTCGTATATTTAATGTTGCTTAAATCGATTAATTTACGATATTTTTTTTACTATAATTTCTTTTGAATGTAGCATAAAATAATAATTTGAATAGATATAATATTAAAATTTAATAAAATAATAAAGATGAAAAAAAAAGAAGTATACTGTCTTCTTATATACTTTTATTAAAGCTAAGTCTATTAAATATTTTTAATCTTAAGTAATTAAAGATATAAAATAAAGTCCATTAAAAAGTTTTAAATACTTTGTCTACTGTCCTAAAAATAAGAGCTATTGAATAATTTTCATAGATATAAATGACATAGATTCAAAAATTTTTACTTTCTAGATCTATTTCATTTATTTTTAAACACATAATTTCAAAATAGCTTATTATTTTCTTTTTAATATAAAAATAAAAATAATAGTAACAAAATATTAATGAACGTGTTTTGATTTGAAATATCTTGAGCATAAGAATTTGAGAAATATTCAATTAATTTACATTAATAAGATGTAAATAAAGTTGCAAATATTTTGAGTATGTTTGCAAATTTTAAAATTTCAATAGCACATATAATAATAAATAATAATTCGTGTTTTTTAAATTTAGATATATTATTTAAATATTTAAGAAAATAATAGTTTATAATCTTATTAAAAATTTTAATTTTTTCCTTTTCTCTTTCTTTCTTGTTATTCTTTCTTAAAAAATATTTTAAATATAATTCTAAAAATTTGATCTGTTTTTTCGTGATTAATTTACCTATTTATTATTAGTCCAATTGTGCACTGAAATACATTCCCGTGTTTTTATTTCACTAATATCAATAAAAATATATATTAAAGTATACATATACATATAAGGAATAAGATATTTTAATAGATAGTTTATGGATTAGATAGGATATTGTGATAGAGATAGTTCATGATTCGGAGTATTTTTGTTCTTATTTTTCATTTTTATTTTTAAAGAGCGTTATTTATATTAGAATTATTTATAATACTCAACGCACATATAATTGATCTATTTGCTACTCACTTTTAATCTTCTTCGAGAAATTGATAACGCAAATTTCAAGTTAAATTGCAATGAAAAGTTGCACGTTAAATTTTGCTATACAATGACGTACCAATATTCAGTTCTGTATTTATAAAACAGTCAAGTAATAATATAAAATTGCATATGTTATTAAATTCTTTCGCAACAAACTAATTTTCAAATAATTGCAACTTTTACAATAGACTATCTGCAAATAATGCATTTTTTATCTCGGTGCAATTAAATTTTAAAATATCATTTACATAATACTATATTGCAAGTTTAAAAAATAATTTTAAGCTTATAAAGAATATATAGAGAAAATATTTTTTATTAGTAATTGTTTAATTCAAAATAATATAAAAAGCATATAAGAATTGACCAATATAATTATTTCATATTTCATTAATATATAAAATGAAAAAAAATTATGATATATATATATATATATATATATATATATGTAAAAATACATGTAGGCAACCGAGAATGTCGCAAAAGAGGCTGTCGTCAAAATGTTGTGCAATCTATATATATATATATATACAGGGTCTACCAAAAGTGTGGAAACCCCTAAATATCTCGGAAAATATACGTTTTACAGAAAAGTGTTTCCAACAAAAGTTGTAGGGTTTAAGAAGATCTATATACTGATTCTATCAGTTTGACCTTGGATGGCGTCGTCAAGGTCAGGTCAAGGTCACATTGACTTTTTTAAATGACACCCCCTACATTTGATTGCATATTCTTATAGCTTAATTCAAGAGCTTTCCAAAACACTATAATAATGTTCATTTTTATTAAGTACTTTGCGAGTTATGAGGGTTGAAATAATTTCTTAATTTTACATAAACCATAAAATATCTAGTAAACCATTCATTTTTCGATTATCTTACCTTCATACTTTTATGTACAAATTAATGAGAGGAATCAATTGGTGTAAAGAAAACACATAGTTGTTTCTAAGAAAAAATATGTAATTTGCAATTAACAATTCCATATTTTTTCTTAAAAACAACTGTATGTTTTCTTTACACCAATTGATTCCTTTCATTATTTTGTACATAAAAGTATGAAGGTAAGATAATCGAAAAATGAATGGTTTACTAGATATTTTATGGTTTATGTAAAATTAAGAAATTATTTCAACCCTCATAACTCGCAAAGTACTTAATAAAAATGAACATTATTATAGTGTTTTGGAAAGCTCTTGAATTAAGCTATAAGAATATGCAATCAAATGTAGGGGGTGTCATTTAAAAAAGTCAATGTGACCTTGACCTGACCTTGACGACGCCATCCAAGGTCAAACTGATAGAATCAGTATATAGATCTTCTTAAACCCTACAACTTTTGTTGGAAACACTTTTCTGTAAAACGTATATTTTCCGAGATATTTAGGGGTTTCCACACTTTTGGTAGACCCTGTATATATATATATATATATTATATATATATATATGCAAGATTATCGTCTATGCCTGCCCCCTGATTATTATTACATCGTATATACTTGATAAGGACCACAACCATATGGTCGAAGCGTCGTATTAATAAACAAAATTTCTGGCTAGTTTGGTCGATTACACTTTTTTTCAATGATCTTTCTTTCACCTATTTAATAGATTGACAAAATAAAGTTAAGTCTTACCTTGTTGATAAGAAGACCAGCGGATTCAAAAATAGCTGTACATGTGGTTTCTCCGAATGCTCTTTTTATTCCTTTTGTCTGGTTTTTAATTTCAGCAATGTGACTCTACAGAATATGAAAAACATGTTAAATTGATATCAATATATAATAAATATTACGCGAGTGTAATATACCTGTATATGTAAATCTTTTTCTTTAGCAATCTTTGCTAGAGCTTGCAATAATTCCATGCTGCAGCTCAATGCATGTCTTGGCGTGATAATTGGTCTCACAAGGGGATTCTACAAGAAATTTTGAGTAATATGACGTATTTTTTGTTTACGTGAGATTATGTAAAATTTTCTATCTACATATATATATAAATCAAATTAGAAAATTATAATATATTATCTTGTCACAATGTGCAGGAAATAAGATATAATAAATTTGCATTTACTCCTATTTCTTTGACAGTTTTTATAAAGGCCTTAGTAATCTCGATTGATTTTTCCATGCTTTCGTAATATCCATTATCCCGTGGATTGTAGATACCTCAGTATACAAAGATGAAAAATAACATGCTGTTGTTGTACCAGTTTGTATAGTTCGTTTCTGTGTAATAACAATTAAAATAATAATCAAAAAATAAGAATATTTTAGGTCAGATACAATTATTATTTTATAATAATGTACTATATATATTATTTATAGTATTATTTTATAGTATTATTTTACATATTATAGTATTATTTTGTATTATTTACATAGCATTATTTTATATTGCTATATAAATATTGTTCTTTGATAATATATTATGTTTTAAGATTTTCTTTTACATACCACAACCACCTCAAATACTTGTTTTACCAATTTTTCATCAGTAAACTGCCTCTCCAATGGATAAGTATAGATCTCCAGCCAGTCTAAGAGAGTTTTTTCGTAACCCAATCCAAGATTCGGAAACTGCACTGCATGAATATGGCAATCGATAAATCCAGATATTATAAATTGTGATAAATTATTAACTTGGTCTGCATGAAAATCATCTATCTTTTGTCGATCTGTTGTTGGATTTTCCATAACATCAATAATCTGTATATCGTATGATACAGATGTTAATAAAGATATTGTTATTGTTTTATATATTTTATATATATTAGATGAATTATTAATAAAAGAAAAAGTAGTAAAGGTAATATATGGAATAAATACTTTTACGTATAATAAATACGTTAAATACGTTAAATACCTTGCCATCTTCGACAAGAATTGCAACCCACTTCTTAAAAATCACTTTTCCATTTTCATCTGCATGAATCATAGGACCAGAAAAAACTTGCCGAACCACTGTGCAGTATTTTTTTAATTATTTCTATTAATTATATAAAATCACCACTGAAACAATGTAATAAACGTGTACATTGTCATTTGCTAAAGCTCTCTTTAAAATATTTTTAAAATATTTTTATTTATCTTTATATTTATAAATATATCTTTCTAGTATATGACTATCATAAAAATATTTTTTCAACAGGAAAACTATAAATAACACATTATTTTCTTCTATTTTTTCTTCTATCTTCTATTTTCTTATATTATATTTTCTTATATTATTATCATGTTCTCATAATTATGTACTCAACCATAATAATAAAAAAATATATAATTGTGTAAATAACTTTACTTCTATATAAACGTAAGTAAATAAAAATTTTCATTACTTTCAAATATAACATCAAATACAATATTACTCAATTTTTCATAAACTACTCGGTTATAAAGTGTTTCAGTCTTTTTTAATATCAAAATTATTTAATAAGATATGATGTGTATTATTACAGCATGTGATTATTATAGCAGAGATTATTGGCGATATAAAAAAACAATAACGTTATAAAACAGCTGATTTGATCTAAAAAAAAAACATTGCATTTAATTATGTTTAATATCAGATTATCTTCTTCAATTATACGGAGGCCACATGACATATGTATCTTTGATGCGATCCGCGATCTCTATTCGGAAGATAATCGTAATAATTTCAAGATTATTGGGCATCAGATATGGAGAACTGTACCACACAAAAATTCGCAAATAATGTATATATTAATATATTATAATGTATATATTAATATATATATATATATATTAATATATATATATATATATATATATATATATATATATTAATATACTATAATGTAAAAAATATTTTTAAAATATGGATTAAATTTTATTAATTTAAATACTTACTTATACGTGAGAAATCATTACCATGCATCATCGTAAGATTGCAATAACATCGCAATAATATTTTTCTGCAAGATTGCATCATTGCAGAAATGTTTGTGAAATGTTGCTACAATATTGCTGCAGTATTGCAGCAACAGTAAAATGTCGGCTTACGGAAATATTACAATGTAACATTGCAGCAATATAGTATATATGTGATAATACTTTGTGTATATTCATATGAGCATAATATCTTTACATAAAAAAAAATAATAAGAAATTAGACATATTATTGTAAAAAACACGATATAATTACGATATAATTAATTATAATTAATTTGTGTAGATTTTTTATATAATTATAATAACGAAATTACAAAATGTAATCCAGTAAATCATGTTGAAAAGATAACAACTTCTTAATCAAAAAGATAGATTAGTTGATACAAACAAAATTTTGATTAGAGGTTTTCATGTTCTTTAAATTAGATCTCTATGAAATATTTATTTAAAGATTTATTAACAGTTTATGTTTATAAAACCTTTGTTTTTTTATTAAATATAAATATGTGACTATCTTACATACACTTGAATAGAAAAAATAAAAATAAGTAAATAAATAATTTTATATTAAATTTTCTTTATTTTTTGATTATCATCGTACATCTTTATTACTGTAACCTATTATTAATTACCTTACTCTATGATACTCTATAAATTAAGATTTTCGTTCACGTTTTATTCTAAGAAACAAAACTTTTAAATTTTAGACATAAGCAACAAAATATTACGAGAGTAATCTCAAACTATTGTGCATGAATCGATCGGATCGCACGTCTCTAAAAAGGAATTACACACATCTACCGAGGACGTGCATAATCGGCTCATTCTTGAATAATACTTAATGAAATTGAACACCTTATAGCAAGCGATATCTTCCACAATAATCGATTCATTGTATGCTGTTTTGGTAGAGGTTCATAAGAAACGTTCGCATATAATTCATAGATTAATCGCAAAATGGATAGATGAATAATTTCAAAGTACAACGTCTTCTGGTTCTAAGATTGCACTAATGATAAGTTGTTTTCTTATAACTAATGCGATTATTTATTTTAAAAATTTTTCCATAAAATTTACTCGGACACTCGTTTAGACAAAAATAAAATAAGATTGAGAGTAATGTTTTTGTGGTAAAACTTTAGAAAAAGACACCGGGGAATTAAATTGTCTTGATCTTGATATATGTTGTCAAAGTCACTGTCCTGA